GGGGATGTTATGGGGCGATGGTTATTTAAGAAGGGAGATGATTTTTTTTTAAGAAGGGGAATGCCATCCCCCCTCATCCCTCTTCAACTTGATTACTGTCTATTTGTAATAACATTTTTAGAGATCTTATTCTATTTTATGTACATAATATAATCAGCTCAATGAAACAAGCTTTGTACTTTCACTAATAGATCTTCTCAGGAAGGAGCTGGAGACAACATCTCTGTGAAAAACACAGCGGCTTTAATAAGAGTAGTGTAATGCAGAGACTCTATATAGTGTAATTACCAGCTAAAGCCTGAAAGAGATTCAGATCTCTATAAAAGTTCAGCCTGGCTATGATGTACTGATTAAAACCTGTTTATCCAACAAAAACATTTCCATTCCCTAATCTGAAAATCTCTATTTCTTCTAGTTACATTTAGACACCACTGCAATGTTTGACGCAAAAGAAACAGAAGAGACCAATTAAAAAATCCAGCATTGTTTTATTTGAGCCCAGATGTGACACTAACTGAGCCTGAACACTTAATGGTGAGCAAGTCCGTATGAACCTTTTGACCTGGAAATACATCCACAATCTGATAAAAGGTTCAACCACAATTCCAGTAGGATGTAAACAAAGTTCCTGTTTCTTTATTTTTCCAGAACAGAAGGATTCCAGAGACATTAAATCTTAACATGTTTTTGTGTTATTGGTCAGTTCAAAATTTAGTACAATAATTTTTCTCCCCATCCACATGCAAGACAGATTGAGGGGAAAGCTTAAAATCAGGTTTTTATTTTTGTCAATGCAGCAGCGCCCCCTGGAGCCGACAGCAGTAAGGGCAGCTTTGGATCATCCAAATAAGAGTTCTATAATTGCTTCTGCTAATTTCTGGACTATAATCAGGATAAGGTCATTAAAAGGATATGTTGAAATAGGACATGTATTTAAAGGCTTTTTTTTTGCATGCAGGGTAAAAATCAAAGAAGCACAGCTTCTATAACATTCACCTTCAGCTCTCTGAGGTTAATTGTCTCCAATAAAAAGCAGGATTAACTCGACCCACAGACGGTAGCTGACATGCAGAAATTTTTCATACAAAAAGAGTTTGACCTGCAGTCGTGAACAGAAACAAAGCGTTCATCCCCTCGGTCCTATCTATCTGCTTTAAGACTTTGCTTGTAAAAAATATACGGAGGCTAATTGGATGATGAAAACCTGCTAAAGATGGCCTCCAGGAATAATGTGTCAGTTAAGAACCCAATGTGTTCAAATCATTAAAAAAGCTTTTAAGAACTCTTCCTTCTTCTTCTTCTTCATTCACTTCTTTTGTGTTGTTAAAATGAGAAGAAATGTCCCACACTGTTGTTATGGACAACAATTCATTTTTCAATACATCAACAAAATTTTTTTAATTCAGAAACTGAAATATCAGTCCTCATATAATCCAAACCATTGAGGCAAGTGTTCTAAAGAGAACTTAAAACAGAGATCATATTTTTTCTCATATAAGTGTCCCTTCATAGCTCAGAACTAAGCTTTTCACATAGATCTAATGGCTCCATATATTCAACAATGAGTTTTTTTGGTTTATGATTGAATTGGGACATATATGATAGAAAAAACAAATTGAAAAGGCTTAGACAGGATTTTCTGTTGGAAGCGAAGTTGGCATAATCTCCTCTCTCTGTCCCACTGATATCATTTCATTAGAGGTCTTCAAGCTGACCCCATCTTGTTGGATAGAGTTCCTCTCGTTGGTTTCCTGATAACTCCTGGCGAGGATGGGCTCAGAGGAAGAGGAGAGAATATTGCTTTTGGGGGTGGGATTTGGTGAGAAGGAGGGGTTATTTGTTTTCTGGGCGGGGTCAGGCGTGAGATTACAGTCTGTTTCTGTGACTGTGTCAGTCCTCTCACATATGACCTGCTGTATCTCAGTTTGCACTACATGCTCTACCTGTTTTTCCTCCGCTTGACCCACAAACCCAGTGCATCCTGAGCACCTTCTACTGGGCAACAGTCCCTCCTCCCTCTTTACACAGCTCCTCCCTCTGGAAAGAGTCTTTCGGTCTCTGTAGTTTTGGGTACATGATGTCCTCCTGGTTGTCCGGCTCTGTTCAGCTCTGTCTCTCTGCTTTCGGATCCGCTGAGCTCTATGTAACGCCAGAGCTGCAAGGTCAGAGTGAGATGATGTGCTGTCAATCATCCTTCTACCCAGAGCGAGGGGCCTGACGGGCAGTGCCAGCCGCAGTCGCAGCCAGAATCGGGAGCGGCGGGGTTCTGACTGACTGCCACGCCATGTCACGGTGCAGATCGAGGCCTGACGGAGCTGAGCAACCTCCATGCAGGGAATTTTCCTGACAGAGCGGTGTATCACTGTGACAACGGAGGCCTGGTGGCCATGCTGCAGGTACAGAGCCAAGCGACACTCCAACAGGCTGAAGCTCTTCTCTGCCAGGAATTCTGGACTGAGGACAAAGAGAAGGCGCCGACTGCGCTTCATTGACAGCAGGATGGACTCTGACAGATCTGAGACATCAAAGAAAGAAGAGAGCCATCTAAAAACACAAACAATTTCACATCACTAATGAACTCTGTTAAAGTCACCCCTAACATGACCCAGTCAATAACTTTAGCAAACACTTTTAACTTAAAAAAAAAATATCGATCACCTGCAGTAGGACAATTGGATATGATTGAAGTCCATTAAAGTGTAATTCGAATGTACCGCTGTAGCAGGTTTCTATTTTATCATTATGTAGAGGAAAGCTCCTGAATTCAAAAGGATGCGAAGCTGAAGGAGGCAAAGATAGCAAATTTAGAAACAAATTGTGCAATTTTCGCAAATTTGGCTAAATTAGATCACTGCAACGCCTGCAAAATATGCGTAGGGAAAATTACAGGAGATAAGAAATCTTAAATTTTGTCTACATTATGTTGGGAAATCCACCCATGGACTAAATACTGCTGTGACCTACAGTGAAGAAGGCAGCGTAGACAGGGTTTTTAAAATCAGAATGAAAGATAGAGAAATCAATATTCACAAAGGATGAAGTAAGGAACTGTCTTAAAAGGTTTGAGGGTACCGGTAGCTTTTAAGTAAGCCGTTTTTCATTTAGCCCTTGAGGGACTGTTTCGTCGTCCTACCTCCAGTGCACACTGTGGCCAGCTGCCCCCTCTACCTCACTCTTTTGCACCGTCTACCAGACGGCTTCCCTAATGCACCGCTGTCCTCCTTTCATCTCCTGCAGTGCAGGGGTAACCAATTAAACATCAGCGGGGTCCGAATAGAGAAAATCAACAACCAGTAAAGGTCTGGAGAAATCTTTATTTATAATGTGTTACTTAAAACAGAATTTAACACTGAAATAAAATGCAGGTGTTTATGAATCCATGTTATACATTGACTTTTTACATAAAAAATTATAAAAGCTAAAGTGTTTTTTGTAGTAGAGAACAAAAATCATTCAGTTTGGTATATAGACAATTTCCTGATTCGCATATTTTATAAAACACCTGAACATTTGTTTTTGTTTTTTCTTTCCTTTTTATGGTTTAATGAGAGCAGTGGGCTTTAAGCTGACCTGCAAGGCTTTAGACCTGGGTTTGAATGGAGACAAAGCCATTCTAAAGCACGTATCAAGCCTGGATCAATATCTAACTTTGATTAAGGTCATGGTGGGGAATCCTGCTTCACAGCCGTAGGTTGAGCCAAACATACAGAAGATGTGCAGGGTCCTCTTTGAGTACACCATTTCACTTTTTTGTCACTAGTTCATCACGCTTCTTCCAGCAGTCCACACTTTCCCTGCTCTTTTTCTCATCATCTTCTTCTTTTTCATTGCCTGGCTTGCCACAGGTTTGCCTGCTGTGTCTAAAAGTAGCAGCAGCAGCAACCCAGACTGACACAGCTCATTAGCTAATTTGTATCACATGCAGCCTGGTGCTGGATGGGGCTTTACTATATTAACAGGAGAAGCGGTGCATCGGACAACAGGCAGTAATCTATAAATGTTTTAAATTAGGTTGGGTCCGGATTAGCCCGCAGGTGGCTCCAGATCCGGACTGCCGTCCGCTAATCCATGACCTCTGCTCTAGAGGCTAGCCTCACTCAGGTGCGCTGTCAGAACACCATCTCACCTTCCTTAAGTTGTCCAGGAGATTCGTCACCCAACTCAGAACAGCTAAGCTTGTGGATAGGTGGAAGTACCACTAAAGGCGACCGTCCAGTCAAACCTCTGGTGGAGATGGTGATATTCTCCATATTGGTTCTATCTTTGAGAATGTGGTGAACCCAGCAATGCAGACATCTTTGATCGGCTTTCAAAAGTGAAGAAAACAGTGCGAGTCACTCCGTAAACAGTAGACACAATGACCTCAAGTTTTTATGGGTTCAGTGGAAAGATGCCTGGCAGGCCCCTGCTTTGCTCATGAAGAAGCAGTATATTCCTTTTGCGCATTTTTGGCATCCCGTGTTTCTAAAGCAACACCTTCAAAATACTTAACCCTGTAATGCCTAATGTATCATATTTGATACATACGGTTTCTGAAATGTTTTGCGTCTGACACCTTTTGCATAATTTAATGGTAAAAACTTTGCTCAAAATCCTATTGTACACAATCAGATATACCTGATAACAGAGGGCAGAAGACTACACAAAAAATAATCTTGACTTATCGCATAGTAATAAATTATTAATATCAAAAACGTATTTCTGTTTTTTCTTTTTACATATTTTGTTAAAAGGCCAAATAAGGACTTCAAACCAAAAAAAAGTAATTTTCTGTTTTGTTTTATTCTTGGATCGGCTTTAAAGGGTTAAGGTGTCACGATGTTAAGCCTTCTCCCGCAACTGGACTCCCATGACCCCTTCAGAGTAAAATGAGTGTAAAGATCCACTTATGGAAATCAAATGGATTCAACTCAAGAAAAAAAAAAGTTTTAATTTTGAAATGAAAACTTTAACTGAGAAAAGGTGAATGATCAATGAAGAAAACATCAATAAATGCAAATTTTCTTTAATTATTTGCAACAACATGATGGAAAAACAATAAAAAACATGATTTGTTTTATATTCATCTTATGACAAAGTGCAGAATCCCTTCTTGGAAAACAATACAGAGTTGTCAAATTCTAAAACAGCATAGCATGTTTAAGAAATAGAAAAACAGAAAAGCATGTTTTTAACCTGAAAAATCATTTTGAATAACTGATTTACTGTGGGCATTAAGAACCTGCAGTAATGGCAGTATTTGCAGTGGACTAAGCCCCATTAAGAGTCAGGTTTTCCCTAATTTCCTCATTAACTGCTACTCTATACAGATGACACCGTCCTTTATCTTTATGGTGATTTCTGTTCTCATAGGGTAAGATGAAATGTTATCAATAAAAGGAAACACAATATATAAACAATTACTAAAATATACAAAAAGTTCCTCTAACGGCCAACAGGTGGTGACAAAAACAAAACCAATTCATCCTAAAGACCAGAAATACATCTTTTCTCATATAGCAACATTAACATGTTTATGCAACACAACTTTTAGAACATATAATCACCTTTCTGTTCAAACAGGAAGGTTCCTTTTGTGAAATTAAATGTAAACTTTTAAATTAGCTTTAATTGACTATTCATACTTGTCATAACATACACTAAATATTGCATTTAAAACATACTGGACATGAGAGGATAATGAGCAGATGAAAGTGATTGATGACGATTCGTTGATTGGGTAATGAGGCCAAGTTGAAGGAGGCTGCAGAAGCTACATGAGAGGAGCGCTGAGCTGAAGAGAGGGAGGGAGGAGTGTCTCCTGTGGAATCATGTTCATGTTGAGGAGTAAATATTATTTGGGTAATGTGGTGGATTTTTAGCCTTGCTGGCAGGATTTCTATAGTCGGGTTCAAACGTTGCTACATTGATATTAGCGGTCAGTTCAGATTTGAAGTTGTATTGTTTAGAAACAGCACAGTGTTTTGTTTTTCTGGCTTTTTTTACTACCATGACAATCTCTGCATTTCACTGTGTGAAATATTAACATTCATAATTTGGATCAGTGGTCGAGAAAACACATCTGAACCCCAGAAATCCTGTAGACTGTTCTCAGAGCCAACAGACCGGGATCAACTTCAATCTGGCTCCGCTTCAAAATCCAGCAGGCCGAGAGAATTCAAAAAGGATCAACAGTGAAATATTCAAACTGAACAAAGGGCTGATTTATGTTAAAACAAAAGCAGATGAAGCTTATATATTATTAATTTTCCAACTTAGAAACAGAAACAAACTAAAAGTCCTGCGCCAAAATGTAAAACATTTAGGTAACTGTAGAAACCTAAAGTAAGAACTGTAGAAAGGTAGAACATTTAAGCTAACGAGTAAAAATATTTGGATGAGAAAGACATTTTTTCTTAAACAGATTGGTGGACACTCCTTCAGCGCCACCATGAGGTAGAATCTTGGTATTACCGATTTATTCGTAATAATCTCCTGATCTTTGGGTGTTATTTGCTTATTTTACTCCAGATATTGCTTTATGCTGATGATATGCAGCTCTACTCATTATTCATGATACTAACTATTAATCAATATCCAGTCTATTCAAATAACATTCATACCTACTGACAAATACTGTCAAATACCACATGAACAGAAAAACCCTGAAATGTTCTGATTAACAGTTTTTTGCTATGAATATAAAGACTTAGGGACGATAAATACTCCATTCTTCTCTTTCCATCGTTGAAATCAGGTTTTGCCAGCCTGATTTGCAATCCCAGCAATTGATATGAGCAACAATTATCCCTAAGCAGGTCATGAAAACAATGAAACTCCTTAAAAAACTCAATCATATAGTAGACCATTCAGCCCTTAACTCCCCCTCTGGCTGCCATAGCTGGCTGAACCTAATCTCTAACAGTACCTAAGACAAAGTTATGGGTCTGCAGCAGGTGTTTACGCTAAGAAGAGACATATGCTCCTTTTCCACCTCTGTGCTCTTCTCGGGAACATCTTCTTGTACCTTTGTCCTTTCAGTACCTCAATACAAAGTGTTCTACAGGTGTTGCCATGAAGGAACAAGCTACCAAACACCATCAAAGTGACTATCCTGAACATTAAGATGGCCTCTGCAGTAAACATCTCCTCTTCTGACATCCCAACATTTCAAACTGATAGAGACTTTGGTTTAACTTGGGATAAGCTTTAAATAGGCCAGAAGTGTTTCTGTTCTTACTTGACCGGCTGATAAAATGTACTACAGCAGTGGTTCCCAAACTTTTCTTTTATGAGTTCCTCTACTTGGGGAACAGCTGTATTATATGAACATTTTAATCTATTCTTGGCTTAGATTGTACTTCCCAAAACCACTGAGGACTATATTGACTCTCCATTGGTTTCAGCTCAATATTGTTTCTATGTACAACAGTTCAGTTTTGAAGGAATAAAAATCAGAAGCGTCACCTGCGCTACGCTGCAGAGCTAAAGACTTTCTGCGGGGTTTTTTTTTCATTACTGATGAGGCCCGTTTGGGAGTTTGTGCTGTTCTGACTGATGAGCCTCAGCAGCGCCCCCTCTCTACTGCTCCCTTTACCGTCCCCACTAACTTTCCTCACAGGAAGCTCCACTCTCAGCCTCTTCCAAAAGCGAGATGTCAGTTCTTTGGACTTATCCCCTTGCCAGCGGACCAGCGCCAGAGCAACCCGGGCCCTCCTGAGCTCCCTGACCAAGCTCTGTCTCTGGACTGGCTTGTACTGGATCAGGATCACCCTCAGGTGCCCGTCCAGCGCCATGCTGTCGATCCCAGCCTTTAGCTCTAGCAGGGCCTGGGAGCCCCGGGAGGCGTAGCCAGGGCTAACGACCACCAGGAGGCGCCGGCTGCGAGCCACGAAGCTCAGCGTCTCATCTGTAATGGCTGCAGAGAAAGATGGAAGGATGAAGTGCTGATGAATGGGTGATGAGTGTGAGTGTGGTTCAGATGAAGAAATAAGGGATGAAGGAACTCACTGCCTCCGGGGAGACTGTCTCTGTCAAAGATGCACACCGAGTATCCGAGCACGTTCTCCAGAACATTGCGCAGCGTTGACAGAACAAACTGCTCCTCTTCGCTGTTCCTCGCGTACGAGATGTAGACGTCAAACTCCTTATCATCTGAACACAGAGGGAAACAGCTTCAGTAACTAAACATGAGTATGAAAAATGTCTTCACCCGTTTGTCTATATAAAGTCAAAGGAAACTTGGTTTATCTGATCTGAGGTCTGATTATCAGAATCGGAAATACTTTACGCAATCCCAGAGGGAAATTACTTTTGTTACGCGCTCCAGATATACAAACATGAAGCTGAATCACTTGCGGGAGGCGTTGTAGAGACTCATGACCACAGGCAGAATTATTTCCATTATCTCAATTTGATGCAATTTCCTCAGAACTGAAGCTGCAAAGTCAGATCGTTTCCAACCCAAACTTACAAAACTTTTACACTATACTCAAAGTAAAGGTAAGAAGAAAGTACAACTTCTCTCTAAACTGGGGTTTTAGGCAACAGGAGACACCAACAACATGTGGTTCAAACAAAAACCTCACAGCCTGCGTTTGTGCTTCTGACACATGACAGAATTTTTCCAGTCTCTATAAACAGGAAGATCTTTTTTTTCTTCTTTAAATGCGTCAAACTCTTTTTAAAACTGTTCTGATCGTAACAGATAATAAACTTACATGCAAATTTCATGCAAGATTAAATGTGGCAAAACCTTTACTGCATAAAATACCCATGACGCTGGATCTGTTACACGCTCCACTTTGTTTTAAAAAAAATATAGATATAAAAAATATAACTGCGGATGTCTGGGGGACAGTGATTCGCCTACATGTTATGAATGCTGGTGTATCATAAAGAATAAATAATGAACAGTTTAGTTTGTGCCTTCAAGTCGTTGCCAATAGGAAGACGTTACCTGGATATAACATAACGGAATATCTTCAGAACAGCTCCAAATGACAGAAAACTAATATGTGTGAGTAGAACATTATGTAAGAACGTAAAAACAAGAGATCAATGTAAAAAAAAAAAAAAAAAAAAGGTCCGTTCCCCTTTAAGTAGCGACATGTTGCTGGAAAAGATCAAAATCTAGATAAGTCATTTTTTTCTTAAAATAACTGCATTTGTTCTTGCATTGAGGACATAAAACTGGCATTTTTGTCAATCGAACAAGACAATTTAAGTAAATAGTTAATTAAATAAGAAAACACAACTTCATTGTTTTATTTCAATTGCATATTATCTAATTATCTTATTTTAAGAGTAAAAATACTCATTCCATTGGTAAATAATCTTGTTTATCTGCTTAAATTAAGGATAAATGCACTTAATTTAAGAAATTGTTACTTATTTCTAGATTGTTTTTTACAGAGTAGCGCAGCTGCTCTATACCTATAATGTCTTAAGAAGTCCTGAACATCTAGAGTTTAAAAAAAGATCAAACATATGAACAAATGATCAAACATTGAGAGGTTAAGATTTAAAGGTTTAAGCAGATCTGGTCATCGGTCTGCCGTCTATCGGGTTTGGTTTAATACACTGAAAGCTTTTGAGCACCAACACAGAAAGACATAACAGTGAAAGATGAATGCATTCAACAGAAAAACAAAAGGCCAGATGGACGCCTCACCTGTGTGCCGCTCGTCCGTGCCGAACCAGGAGCGGTACAGAAGCAGCAGCTCCAGCCAGAAGACGTGATAAATCATGAAGAGAAGCAGCATGAGGAGCAGCGTGATGCCCAGACCACAACCCAGCTCCACGGTGGGCAGCGACACTGGGAGCAAACACAGCCTAAGGTTAACACCTGCCGCTCTCTACCCTGCTCCGGCCGAGGTCTTGTGCGAAATTCTGTTTCCCCGTGAAAATCTGTTCCCCCTGTTTGGGGAGCGCGCATTGCAGCCAGAGAGGCGGATCTGACCATTCTCAAGGCGCTCCTGATCATTTTTCATTAAAATGATCAGGATTAATCATTTTAATCCTGATCAGGCAGCTGAAATAATCTGTTCCCCTCTAATTTTTGCAAATAAAGAGTAAATATGACCAAATCCACAGGATTTGTTCTTGGTGGTGAGAGGAATAAGCACAGTTTAAGACTTGCAGGTAAATCAATTTCTTCCCCTGTTATGGAGGGGGAACAGATTATTTCAGTAAGCTGAATCATCCATTCTATCCTCTCCTCCTCCCATATCTTTTGGAAATAAAGAGCAACTGTTTCTAATTTCTCTAAAATTGATATGTGTGATATGTTATACTAGAAATGTCCTTAATCCAGTAATATGTCATATTTTACATTAGAAGGTGATTAACCAGAAATTCTTCTCATCTTCGCAGGACGTCTTAATCTGTGTGCCCTGCTATCAGCCAGTTTCCATCCTCTTATATCAGAAATGAAAAATTAAAAATACACTACGTGTTGTTGTGTTCGGTGACTGACGTTTATTTCTGTCAGGCTGAAGGGACAAAAGTTGGAGAAATACCGATTATCTTGCCGTTTAAAAAACAACACAAAACAGTGTAAGAGGACCTCATTAATGTATTTATTTTACATTTTTTTTAAAAGAGCAACCGATTAAAATGGATGTTACAAAGTTGAGATGATTATATGAGCAGTTTTTATGGAAAAATGATCAGGAGCGCCTAGAGAATGGTCAGATCCGCCTCTCTGGCTGCAATGCGCGCTCCCGACACAGGGGGAACAGATTTTCACGGGGAAACAGAATTTCGCACAAGACCGGCATTAGGAGGGCTAGATTCTCCTTCCCCTTCAGAGTCTTCCTCACCCTCTTCCTGCAGTTGAGCTCTGCGGGTCTCGAAGCCCTTTGCGTTTCTCACAGAGCAGTTGAACTCCCGCTTCAGATCTTCTGGCTGAAAGTCTTCAATCACCAAAACGCTTTCCTCTGTCAGGTCCCCGTAATCGTTTTTCTCCAGGCTGCAACACGCAGACACAAAAAAACATTCCTGAATCTATCTGAAACCTCTGTCTTTGCTTGAATACGCCGCTTCAAATGTGCCACATTAGCATTAGCGGTGAACGATAATACAGAAAATTAAAGTGCCGGTTATTTTTTAAACCAATATTGCACTTTTATTTCGATTTTCTTTTGCACTAACTGCAGGCATGTAAATGTTTCATTTCCGGGTTTTATTTCTAACATAAAACCAGGTCTAAAAGCTGAACTTTAGATGAATTTCCAGAGAAGATATCTAGAAATCTGCCAGTAGAAGCAGGTTTGTTCAGTTTCTACCTGTTTATTTGGGAGAAGCGATCATTGGCTGCAGTCACTCTCTTCCCGTCAACCGTCCACCAAATCTCCCGGGAAGTGTTGTGCAGGACAAGAGGAAGGAGGCCTTTGCAGGCCAGACGCACGTCCGTGTCTGACAGGAAACAGAAAATAGAGTCAGAACCAGAGCTGCCAGTCCAGCAGCCGAACCTCAGCTGGATCATAACTCGGCACGAAAGAAGAAAGCGGTTTTCAATCGTCTTTGTGCAAAAATAATGATGTCAGTAAAAAAATGTATTGGGAGACTGGCAGCCTAGTGGTTAGGGCAGAGCTTGTGGGGCTTGAGTTTATATACATATACATACATATATATATATATATTCTGCTGGAGGTTTCCTCCTGTTAATAGGGAGTTTTTCCCTCTCCACTCTTGCTGCATGCATGCTCAGTGTGACGGATGGCTGTAGAGGCAACAACACACTGCAAGCGCAGACTTAATATCCCTACATGCTTATATAGGAGCAGCGAATCGTGCAGTCAAGGACTGGATGTAATCAGCTGGTTTATTAGATGGAAAACTTCTATAAAGTGCTTTGAGATGACGCCTGTAGTGTATTGGTGCTGTAGAAATCAACTAAACTGAACTGGTTGCCACTGGTTACAATTAATAACATTGATCAGCTGTCTAATTTAAATACACAAAGATAATTATGGTTTATTTTTTTTTACATATACAGTTTAAGTATGGTTCCTACACAATGTTTTATAAATGAGAGCCCTGAATATTTGGGTTATGGTTCATCAAATCAGGTCTGATCCGGTCCGACAGCCACTTACTGGTTCTGACAGAGAAGACCTTGTCTTTGGTCGGATGGAGGATGGTGGGCTCTTTGCGCACTCTTAAAGGATCTGCAGGAAGAGGACACAGCATCAGAGGTTACCTTCAGGGGTCCACCTGCTCCCACCTGAATCCGAGCAGCTCCAGACTTACAGATGGCTGAGACGTTGATGCTCCTGGTGAAGTTGAGCATCCTGCCTCTCCGCTGGTACTGCACCGTACAGAAGTACAGACCCTGATATGTGGTGAGCATGGTGTAGAACCGCAGGCGGGTTCTTTGCTGTTCCCGGTCTTTATCCCAAAACGGGTACTCATAGCACTTCTAGAGAACAGATTGAAAAGGTGTCACCTCACCCAGCAGAACCAGCGACATGTTTAATGGCTGACCCACAACCAGCCGGGTAGAGAGGTTCCAAACCTGCTGCTGCCTCACCGAATTCTCGTAGTACCATTTGACAGTCGGCTCGCTTTCAGACACCTTGGCGATGTCCTGCAGGTCCGGACAATCCAGCGTTTTCCCTTCCTGCATTGGGATCAGCTCCTGAGTCGGTGCCGTGGCGACCGGAAGGTCACAGTAGGTGGATCGGATCACCTCGTCCCGCCGCAGCACCTTGAGGCGCATGGCGATCTTACTGCAAGAGGACTTGTTGCTGCAGAAAGGAGGCAGAAAGAAGAACCTTAACATGGAAGGAATACAGATCCATCAGCTGAGGAACAGATCCTCACATTAGGTTCTGGGTTTTAAAATGTTGACCGTGAATCAAAACATCAGAGACTGCAGGACTTTTATTGAGGACTTAAAACGTTTCACTACATTTAAAGAGAGTCTTGTGATTTTATGAACAAAGAGCAGATATTGAACAGAAGAGCTTCAAAACAGAGGTCACGGATTAGCGGACCGCGGTGTCTAACTTCACTTGCACCACATCTCCTGTTACTATGGTAAAGCCTCCCAAAGCGTCTGGAACCAGGCTACACGTGATACAAATTAGCCAATGAGCTGCTGTCAGTCTGGGTTGCTGCTGCTGCTACTTTTAGACACAGCAGGCAAACCTGTGGCAAGCCGGGCGATGGGAAAGAAGGAGAAGATGATGAGAAAAAGTGAAAGAAAGCGTGGCCCCTGGTAGAACTGCGGTGAAC